CCCCCCCCCCCCCCCCGGATTTCTTGTTTTTCAAGTGAAAGAGCTTATTAAGAAAGATAGGAGACAAAAGGGACCAGGAGTGTCTGTTGGCTATTTCTTCACCAGCAGGGTGAGTTTTAAAAGCTATCAAATCCCTTATCTGCAGAATTTAAGGAATTATATAGCACTTCTGAAACTGTGAAAATGGTTATTCCGTGATATAAGACACCATACTCTCTTTAAAAATAATCACATCACTGAACCTATTAAATTAAGTAGAGACATCATGTCTTTATTAGAGTATTCTATCTATGGTTTATAGATCATTCTTTATTGCAACAATCTGAGCTTCAAACATTCAAACATCAGTTTAACAAACTCTAAGATGCCAATCCACTTAAAGAGGCTGGCACTAAAATGGCATAGATTAAAACACTATAGAGACTAAAGGGAACTTTTCTGTGCCGTAAATGTAAAAAAAAACACTTGTCTTTCTGAAGATGTGGCTCAGATTGAAACACAACAGCACTTTAGCCACAATAAATTAACACAAGGCATAATTTGGGTCAAGAAAATAAATTCTTACCCCTTACCTTTCTCATTAAGATTACGGAAAAGTTTGGATGATCCTTTCCAAACTGGTGGTGTCTCCATAAGGATCTGACTCAGTTCCTAAAAAATAACATTTAAAAAAATAAAAGTATATATTTAAGAATGTAACAAGGTAGTTAACAGATTATGAAATAAATACTAGGAAACCAATATGAAGGACAAGGAACTGAATGCAAATCTACCAGCTAATTGAACTTCAGTTTGCCACAATGACTTTGGAGGTACTAAGCACATATATAAATTTTGCAGACATGATTATCTCAAGAATTGGTCATCTGCATAAATACCAAGTGTTTGCAGAGTTGGAGAGAGATGTATTTGTTGCTGAAATTACTCACCACTGCTCATACTCACTGAAGCCAAAACTAAGTCCCCCTGGATTTCAGTGAGGTTTTCATATGAGCTCCAAGCAACTGTTCTTTTAAAACACTCAGCCTGAACTAAGGCAAACTTCACCCATCAATAGGAACATACTTTACTTAAAATACAGGGATAGAGTCTACAGAGTTATACAAATTTAAAAAAAAAAAAAGTAAGAGGCACTTAAACATCACAAAAGGTAAACTGTGGCATAAGTATTTCAGGCAGCTTGGATACCCCTGTTAAACTCAGTCAGACCCAGGCTGAGGAAGGAACTGACAGAGGCTCAAGAAAGTCAGTAAATCCAAAGTAACAAGCACAGCTGCTCAAGTGTCTTTGAGACTCTGGATTCAGCTGAATTGACAAAACCAAAAAAATTAAGTTTTGGGTTTTTTTTATAATAAAGATTTAAAAATTTTCTTATTTCTCCCGCAACTCTAAGTTTACACCATGAAAGAAAGTAACTGTATAAAAATTTATGGTTATAAGGCAGCACAGGGAATTATTGCTCACCTGCTTTGAAAGGGATCGCCACCTTTTAGCACCTGCAACAAAAGAAAGTTATGAATGCACAGAATTCAGTGTGCTAATGTGATGTCATAAAAATTAGACTGCATCTATACTGCATTTTCTAGCCAAAGAAGAGGTATTTTCTCCACCTTACGAGGCTAGTCTTCAACCTTGTTCAAAAAAATCCTCATTATGTTATTAAAAATACAATTAACTTAACACATACCTAACTCCTAACTTTAAAGAACTAATTAGATGTATAGTTTTTAATTCAGCCCTGCTTCAGTGGTATTAGAAATCCATTCCTAATGATGAACTCCATGCTCCATTAAATAATTATAATGATACTGGAGCTATTCACTATGGTCTTTTCTTACTTTGTGGTTAGAAACTTACTGACATTTTGGTTTTACATCTTGGTTAAAGTTAGCACCAAGACTATCTACAAATCCTACTCTGACTGTGGTGGAATTATATCAAACAACATCATAACATGAGCTAACAGATCTTCATGTACTTTTCAGCTTAATTTTTTAATGTCAAATAAAGTCTTGTCTCAAAATACTAAATACAATTCCCCCAAAGCAACCTCATTTGCCATATAAATTATGGTTATGCCTACTATAAAAAAACTTGGGTAATAAATGTCTAACTTTCCAATCAGATAGTTTCCCAGTCTCATACATTACATATGGATTTTCTTTCTAGACAAGCAAGTGAAGATTTATGTGTATATACATACTTTTACAGCTCTGTATTAGGCTAAAACTACTATAATCAGAGCTAAAGGGAACAAAATATATTTCCTCTTCTCTTAATTGACTTTCTAAATATATAAACATGTATTCAGATGATAAATATGTATCAAGTATGACTGTTAAAAATACTGTATTTTCCCAAATAAAAGCCTGCACTGTAAAGGCAGCAGCAGCAGCAAGACAATTAGCATTTTTTTAAAATAATAACTACCTGGAGTCAAAAGTTAGATTTTGTAAAAGAAAATAGACTCTTACCATATTAGTTAGTGTTTAATCAAAAAAGGAAGTGAACACCCTCTTGACTTTTGTAGGGTTTACAAGATTTCCAAAGTAAATCAATCACAATAGATGCATTCACTCCATCACAAATCTCATTCAGGTCTAGTATTATTAGCTTTTCTATAAAGCAGATGTAAAGAGCTTTCTCTTCAAAGGGCAGTTTTGCTTTTTGACAAAACTCAAGACCTTTCTAGTCTTCATCCATAAAAAAACCACAGGTGCATGTTCATTCTTTTTTTTTTCCTGTAAAATATATATGCTCTAGCATGTCAGCCTGAATGGACTCAATTACTCAAGAGACAACTTGCAACTTATTTACAAAATGATCCAAAAATACAAAATAAGATGTTTAGAATGTACTAGTTTATTCAGAAAAACACCTTCCTTAAACTTACTACCTTCAATAGGGCAAGACAGAAAATTAAAGACTTGCCCAAACCGACAGAGCGGTATTTTGACAAAGCTGCAGCAGAAAGGTTAAAATTATCAGTCAGATGAGAAGCTGGAGGTGGTAACACCCGCAGGTCACCTACTTCATCTATTACTTCCTACTTGTCAGCCTTCTGTCCAAATGTCCCAGATGATTTGACTTCCACCATAATGAAGTCATCCACTTCTACTTAGTAACAGCCTCTCACACTAATGTCAGTCATGTAATCTCTGATACTCCTCTCTGTAAAACTAAAGGACATCCATCCAGGTTAGTTCTGCTCTCACTCTGAGATCAACTGGACACACAGGAAGGATTTTGCTACAAACAAGGTTTCCTACACTGAACTCAGAAGGGTGTCTGACAGCTCACTACCAGATCTCTTCTCCTTTAGCACGAGATGAACAGAACGTCCTTGTGAGTTTAATATTTTTTAGTTTTGTTTTGCTTTTAAAATCTGAATACTTGCAGTGAGAGAAGAGGAAGCATATATTTCATTAGCATGGAAAAAATCTTAATAGCAAGTCATACATACAGTGTGGCCAAACCAGTCAAACTGTCACAAAATGGAGCTAAAAATGAAACGTTTAACTGATGCCCAGTATAAGGCACAAAAGCTTCATGACCATACATGGTGAAACCCAATTCCACAGTGACCAAAAAAAAAAAGAAAAAAAAAAAAAAAAAAAAAAAGACGACTTGGAGATTTGGGCAGAGGAAGCAGATATAAAGTGCTGATGTGTATTTGTATTAACTCCTGTGATAAGGAATCTGCTTCCTCTCTTTTAACTGTGGAGCAAAAAAAAAAAAAAAGAATGAAGATTTGCTTTCTGGTAAGAGTTTCAAAGTTTTGCAAGTTTTTGCTGTCTAAGCTTTATCTTCTGTCTTCACTGTTACAACGAGATTATATCTCTATTCAAGAGTTATAGAAGTTTTGATCCCTGATGTGCCATGGCTGAATTCTTTCCTCGTTTCATTACTGTTAAGAGAACAAAGGGGGGGGAAATCTAACATCTGCACAGAGCTTGAAGCTCTCCTCTGACTATTTTAGGTGCTTTTGACTGTTCTCTATCCTAGCTTTGTGGTGTAGGCTTTAGGAAGAAAGACCTAAGGTGCGTTGTTATTATACATGTCACACCTGAGCAAAGATATTCACTTTCCCCAGAAGTTGTGTGCTGCTACCAACGCACTGCAAGCCTGAGGGCCAGGAAATCAAACCAGATCAGAAATGGATCACCTTACTATTTAGTCACTCTTTGATACTTAAAGCAAAAAATTTTGCAGTAAGTGAACTAAAGCTGATAGTTTATTTTTCATTAATTTAATTAACACACGGTGCTAACTCTGGCAACTTTCAAGTGTAGAAAGTGGATGCCCTGGGGGACTGAAACTCCTACTCAAAGCACATTATTTAGAAAGCCATGATATGGTTCTAAAACCTCTGTAGGGCAAAAAAAACCCCAACACGATAGCAGATGACAATTTAAGATGGCAAAAATTGCAGAAACAATCTTATGCTAAATTATTTAGAGAACTCATACCTTGCCTGCCCATTTTCACAGAAAATATAAAGAGGAGGAAGTAGGAGTTTTACAGCAGCAGTGGGCTGCTCAGAAAGAAACCGTGACTGTAACGGCATCAATGCAATTGGAACAAATGGACCTCTTGTCTTTCATGCCCATTGAGCTCTTTGTGACCTCCAAGACAAGAACGCTTAACTAATGACTGTTATACAGATATTTACAACCTAACAACAATCAGAACACTGATTGTATGCACTTGGATACCATTAACAATAAAACTCTGGAAGATTTTTGGAAGAAAAATTCTGGAAGTAACTTTTTGACCACAATCAGAAAAGGAAGCAGTAATCAAAAGCAAATGGAAAAATAACATACCCCACTGGCATTTTCCCTAGCAATTTTATCAGTATCAAACTCCTGCTTACATTTGGGTTCGTCACTTGTGACAGCCTGAATGAAGTCATATGGAGTCATGTAGAGCTGTCCTTCAAATTCTAAGCTGGCAAACCTGCGAAACCGCTGCTCCCGAGGAGTTGCGTAAAGGTGCAAATCTTCAAGGTCTGATCTGTTTTCTGTAACCTTCAAAGACAGAAGGAAACAATATTAATGTAAGCAAAAAGTTTTGGTTCACAATTGCCACCACCGTTCACCATAAATAAACTGTAAATGTAAAGGTGATCATTCATAAAGTCAAATGCATCCAAATATTCTTCTATCCTTTTCAGTCTTCTACAAATTTTAGCAATAAATCTTTATGCATTGAAATTGTACTCAAGCCCAGGGAAAAAAAAAAAAAAAAAAAAGAAGAAGGTAAACCCAAGACAACTTAGGCTCTTGAATCATAGAAAAGGGGGCAACTTTAACTCAAGGAAGTCCACATAACTTCAACAGTTAAAAGACTCTGATAAAATTCCAGACATTTCCAGAAGAGAATGCAATAACACTTCTTTTATATTGCTTCTTAGCATACAGCACAACTGTTGACAGTAACAGGCAAGAAACCTCTGCAATATACTCCAGTGTAAATCTTGCACAGATACTCCTATTTCAATTATTCCATGCCATTAGAGCTACCAGACTTGGGGAAACAGAAGAAGAGAAGAGGAGAATTATTTCACTACAGTTACAGAAGTACTATACTGCATCAAGTTCACAGCCCATGGGAGTTTACAGATGTCAGGAGTTTATGTAAACTTAGTAGTACAAACTCTAAGAGTTCTAAATTATTACATATTTGTGCTACACTGTCAAACCTTATAACAGAAAATATGCTACCGCCACTATCTGAAAACTTGTTTTAGCCCATAACAAGGCAAACTCCTCTGTGGAATCAGTACCTTCAAGAAAATGTATCTGGAACTTTTTTTCAGGGATTAAAAAAAACAAACCAAATCTGTTTCATAAAAGGATGAGCAACGATATAGCCAACTTCTCCTGGTACGTTAAAGAGGAATACAGCATCTTATCAATGAAATATCCTAAACTGACACTGTCCTCACTATTTTTGTCATTTCATACAGTATCCCTAAAATTCTTCAGGTGTCAAACTAAGGAAAGGCAACAAGTAGCACATGGTTTAACTAATGCCTATGTTTTACTTTACCAACTAAGAAAAATCCAGCCCAACACATTTTGTTTTTCAGAGAAGCATCTAAACACAAAGAGAAGCTGGGAGATGTCTGCAGCTGCTGTCCGCCAAGAGGTAACAGTCCTCAACTACAAATGGGGATTGCTTTTCCAAAACCTTTCCAAGAATAGGTTTCAGATTTCAGCAATTAGAAGCAAAGACAAGTTTATATTGGGCAGTCAAAACTCTGGTCTCACTTCCCTTCTGTTTTCCAAACAAAGTCCTTAAAAAAATAAAACATTAGTAAGACTACTGCAGTGAAACAAAATTTTATGGCCTCAGTTGTAACTAAGAGATTACATTACATTTGTAAACTAGACACATCAAAAATAAATGTGTCTAGAAGAGGTCAAACACTTCCTATTTAAAAAAACCAACAAAACAAACCAAAAAAACCACACTTATAATCACAATGTAACAGAAGACTCGCAATTTCTTGATTTTATATATGGAAGTTTTAGTACCTCAATACTTTATCTAGGACATTTTAACCAGCCTTCTAGAAGCAAAAAAAAAAAAAAAAAAAAGAATATTAACTGGACAGTTTTTGAGTTAGTGTTGTGCAGTTTTAGATGAGGTTCAAAATTCAGATACTGTTGATGTCAGGATTCCATCAGCCTCTGAACAAAGTGGGACATGTAGTTGGTAGAGAAGGGTGGGAGCAGGAAGACAGTCTTGGAGGGTTGTTATGTTGAAATAGAGCTTGGCATTTTCTTGCTATTCTCTTTCTTGGAAAAATAAAAACCCAATTCTAGAAAGACCTGCACCTTTTTTGGAGGAAATAGTTATATGGACCCATAGGTCTTAACTGTTATTCAGATTAACAGCAAATTCTGAAGGAAAATGTGTACATCCGGTGTACGTTGAAAAAAAAAAAAAAAAAAAAAAGACTATTAACTGTGCAGTTCTCTTTCTGTACCGTCCCTAGTCTTTTTGAAATTATTGCTTCTGTTGTCTGTGTGTGACAATGTTTTGTTTCAATGGAGAAACTGCCATGGAAAGTAAGAGCAACAGAAACACTTACTCAAGCATTTAATTTTCAATAGACTGCTCTACATACAAATACTCTGCATTTTTCCCTGAGAAGCAGTTTTAAACCCGGTCTCTCTGTTTTTTTATCATTTTTAAATGTTTACCAAATTAAATATGGGGAGAAAAAAAATAATCATCTAACAGCCAGAACTACAAACTCACCTTAGAATGAGAGAAAAAAGTTGAGTAACCACTGACATACCCACATGCAAGCCAAAATATTTCTGTCCCATGTCACTATTTGAATATTATGGTCCTGCTGATCCTTCAGCAGTCCAGTGGCATTCAAGCTATGCCTCCATGTGGGATTTACACAACTCAATTGTTTTGGTAGAGCTTTTAGTGACATAACTGATTATCCCTATATTTGAAGTTTAATAATCTACCTTTATTTTTGATACATGCCGTTTTACCACTATTAAAAACATGCTTTCGAATACATGCAGGTTGTAAGCATGGGTAATGAAGCTATATGTATCTGCAAAGTCAATTTTCAGAAAAGAAACTGCTTCAAGGCCATATTACACATGCAGTACGAATAATCAATTGCAATCAGTCATAATCAATAATACATAATCAGGAGAATCTGTAGATAATGTATCACTCAAGAGACATCATCTCAGTTTTGATCACTGTCAGTATTTGGAGAGCACGTTGAGATTCCTTCCTCTCTCAAGAAATTCATGCTATCTCAGGTACTACCGCTTAATATTTTGCTTCAGACACTCAGAAAGGCATTTGCTAAATTCTCAGACACATATTTCAACATTATCTTGAGCACTCCGTGCTACTGTAAGTATAAAATAACATACTGCAAACACGGAATTTTCAAAACATGCTTAAACTTAACTCATGCTAGGTCTCCAAAACCTTAATTTCTGCCTCACTTTAGCCAACCTAGTTTCCCCTGAGTGTATAGTGATGCCAATATTTCACCCTCTGGCTCGAAGTCACAGTAACCTGATAGGAATACAGCCTGCCACCTAAAAAGAGCAGCACCTCCCTGAAGGCTCCATATCCCTCCTGCCCTTGCTCTGGCACTTTATGTTTGTTTTCCCCAGCGTCAAACCGGATAAAAGAACTGGTCTGACTGGCAACTTTTTGTTTTGGTGGTGCTATTTTTTAAGCCAGATAAATGCCTGGATTTACCCCACAAGAACATTTACTTTTTTCAAAACACGGGCCAGGGGAACGTGCAGCTTATGGAAAAGAAAACATCACCTGTGTCAGCAGCAAGCACTTCAGGTTAAAGCGATGGGAAAACTGCAGGCTGAAGCATAAATTCATTCTAAGGAATTCTAAGGAACTTTTGGGGTTCATCGGAAAGAATCAAAGCAAGTTGTTTCTGCTATTGATCTACCATGAATTCAAACAAACATATTCAGGGCTTAACGTGTATCACATCACTGGGCCTTACACTAGATGTCCAAATAAAAAGCAAGGATTGGCTGCAGAAGGCTCCAGGCACACACCTTAGTGAACTGACAAACAAAAACCATCTTTGGGAATAATAATTAATTAAACACCAAGCCATTCTAAAGTATTCTGACCCTCAATTCGTACCTCTTTGGGCACAGTTTTATGTGTTGAGACATAAATAAATCTCCTGGTTTCCCCAACATCAGCAGATCATAATCCATTGAGGCCAATATGAGCATCTTAGAGACACCAATTGCTCTCAATTGATTTATTTGATATTTATGTGCAGGTTAGGCAGTCTTATTGTAGCAGCATTAGTGTCAAACCCAACAGACACAGGAACAAGACACAGAAAGTCAATGCTGAACACCTCAGGGAAGGTGCTGCTGCTGAAGAAGTGCACAGGATTCAGTAAGATTCCAATTTCTATTTGAAGTTCCAAGAGCTTATCCAGACTAAATCTCTCTGTAATTATCAACAATCTTCAAAAACTCTCATGAAAGTACGTCTCTTTGACAAACAAAAGAGGGGAGATTTTTTTTTTTATGCTTCTGTTTACTAATCCTCTTGGCAATCCTGCTGACTAATTACTATGAGCTTGTATCATGTTATGGTTCTCTGCCTTTTAAAAGCTGGACACAACCATTTCTTCCAAGCAGAATGGCACGAATCTCCCAATAACAGTATTATCGTAATTTTCAGCATAGCAGTGAGTTCTGCTTTACCTGAACATCTACACAGACCCACCTTTTTATTACAACTTCTAGGGAGAGAAAAAAAAGAAACAGCCCCACAGCAGAAACCAAGAATGTAGCTGGTAGCCAGAATTTCACAGAATGGTCGGGGTTGGAAGGGACCTCTGGAGATCATCTGGTCCAGTCACCCTGCCAAAGCAGGGCCACCCAGAGCAGCTTGGACAGGAACATATCCAGGTGGGTTCTGAGTACCTCCAGAGAAGGAGACTCCACAGCATTTCTGGGCAGCCTGTTCCAGTGCTCAGGCACCCTCAAAGTAAACAAGTTTTTCCTCTGAAATTAGCAGTATATTTTTCAGAGAGTGCAATTAGTTAGAAGAGACTTAAATGGAAATTACCAAAAAGGGAACTGATTCTGGTTTACCTCAAACAAGGACATTTTTCTTCCTCAATTCACAGCAAAAGCTCGAGTAGGCTTTCTATCAAGCAAAATTAGTGTCCAAAACTCACTCCTATTGTGGATTCATCTTTCACGTACTCTGTCTATTGGTGCAGACAAGTCAAAGTGCCCTGCAAGTCCAGTGCTCTTACCAAAGACTTCCATGTATTACTTGAACTTCCTTGAAGCATGGGCTGATCTCCATTTCTCATTCCATGTTTGTCTTACTGGCTCTCTTATCTCAGAGAGACGGTGTGTCTGAGTTTGGTATAACATGAATTAACCTCTGGGGCCTTCCAGTGAAATCCACACAATAACTTAAGGCATTACCACAAGATGGTCTAACACAGGACATGAGGTCACAGATT